CATGTCAGCGAACGGGTAGAAAAAGAACACTTTGGGCTAAGCCTACAAACTGCCCGCTGAGAAACTTCAGAAGTGTTGTGACTAGGCACATTGTAAGGGGGTTTACTGCCTTACCTGAAAATTAGTTGGCTATGCAAATGAAGTTTAGAGCATCTCCAAATTATTGCAGGAGTGGCCTGACCTGGTGGAACCCTCTCTCTCGTGGCATCATTCAGATGAGGCAGGCTGTATTTAGATGTCTGGAAGGATCATACAGAGTCACTTTATTTTGCTTAAATGGTATTGTATAATCTCAGCTTTTCTGAACACGTATTCACACAGAAGTTGAGACCTGGTGATTATATTGGTGGTTGTAGTACAGGGTATGTAGAAGCAGATTCTGGTTTAGTCTGTATACTTTGGCCTGACAAACAAAATGAGAGGATGGACCTTTGAACTGACACCATTTGAACTGGCAGTGCTGGCTTTAGTAAGATATTTCCTAAGCTGAGAAGTCATTTATTGGTTATGAAGTAAATCTGTTTTCCTGATCAACAGGAAAAATTGCCTCTTTATCAGTCAAAACTTAACCATATAGTGAACTACAGAGCCTTTGATTTCATCAGAATATTTATATTATGTGAAACAGTTTTTCTGCTAGAATCCACTCTAGTCTTCTCTTAAAAAAATCCATAAACTTTAACGAATGAGAGTGGCACACCTTAACATTGAGAACTGTTCCCTCTCCCCAGGTTTCTGACTAACCTACTAAGAAGGCGAAATGGAGATTAATTTTAAGTAATTGCAGGATACTGGAGTTTGACTTGTAGGTCCAGCCTTGAAACAGAGCGCTGTCTTTATGGACATCTTTTTATAGTTGCTTGTTAATGAGCTCAAAATACCTGCTTGGAGTGAAGCTTCTTGGTCATTGAAGGGGATGTTCTAGGAAAGCTTTCTTGGCAGTCAAGCCTATTTATCAAAGGCACTCTATTAAAAGCTTCAGAAACTTCCATGTGCTTCTTGTTTACCTGCATGATTCAACGAGGCTCTTTTGGAGCTTCGCCTAGGACGTCCTCAGAGATTGGATTTGGATCCTGTGTTAACAGAGAAGTTCTGGAAGAGTGGTAGGGACAAGGAGCCCAGGCTGGGGGGCACAGGCATGTAACTGGGAACCTACAGCTAGGATGAGAGCTGTGGACAGCCCTCTCCTTACAGCCTCAGCCCTTCTTGTTTCTTCCCTCTGGTCTTTTTCGTTTCACTGTGGGATAGGAACCATGAATAATTATTTTGCATTGGTAAATATCTGTTTGAAAGGAAAGCATGATGACTTGCAGTTGTAGCAGCCATGGCTCAGAGTGAAATCTCGGAGGAGGGAGGTGATGGAAGCAGCCTGTGTATACTTTCCCCGGCAGTAATAATAGTGCCTGGTATGCGTCAGCTGCTTCTGCCTCTTTCCCGTTTACGTACGTGAGTGTCAAACAGACGTACGCGCTACATTCCCACGTATGAAACGTGTACCGTAACGCAAGTGTTCACAGGCGTTACCGTGCGCCTGTTGTGTGCCTGGGTTAGGGGTATCTGGAGGCAGCGGGGCTGCTGCTGTCGGGCTGGAGCGTGGCATAGTAGTAGCTGTAGTTTCTCTGGGCTGCACCAAGGCACGAAGGGGAGGGCTCTGGCAGTTCGTTGCGTCATGCAAGTAGGGTGCCATCAGCGTGTCCTTCTCCTTGGAGAAGGAGAGTATAAATACCAGTGAGAGTGTAGAAGGCGCAGTGCTTAGATGTTAAACTGTTGGCTAAGCCTAGTATTCTTTGCCTCATAACCTTGTGAGAAAGAATAAGGCTTTAGTCAAAAGAGCCACATGTGGCAGTTCTCCTTTGATCATCTGTCTCTGATGTTTCTGTTTAGAGGAGAGTGAAGACGAAGGCATATAGATAAAGGCAATAGTATGAACATGGATGTTGCAGGAAGAGGGAGACAAAGCAAAAAGCCATGTGGCCAAGATGCCTGTTTTTACCTGTGAACAGCCTATGCGTAAGGCTAAAGCAGTGAGGTATCGGTTTACTTAAGGGATTACTTGGTTGAGGGGGAATCAGTCATCTGTGGGTTTCTAACCTAGACCAAAGGTTATTTCCTTCTAGTTGTTATTCAGGGTAAAATTAGACAGCATCTTCCTTGAGCTAAGCATATGCCCGGATACTGGCACTTAACAAGGAGCCGTGCTGGTGTGACAGCCTACAGGGCCTGAGAAGTTGAACAAGTTTGGTGGAACTAGGTTTAAAGAATTTCCTTCCTGTTCAGGGCAGCTGGTGGCAGCTAACCTGAGGGTACAGAGGCATTTTTGTAAATAAAACGTACTGTAATTCTAGGCCTGTCTAGAATCATTTTTGGTAAGAGTCAAAAGGGGAACACTGTCCTAAGCCTTAGCAGATCTCAGGTAATCATGAGAGGCGCCCCTGCAAAAATGAGGAGATAGTGGTCATCGTATGACAGCCCTTAGACATGTCAGGAGCCGAGTTCCAAGGTCCCAGTTTCCCCTGAAATTACAGATTCCTGACAGGAAACCTTGCCTGATACTTTCTGCTCTACTTTAGGCTCTGGTGAGTCAACCGTTGCTGGCATTTGGACCTTGAGAGGTAAGAGTATGAATCTCCAAGTGTTTCATGAATGTTACAGATAGTTTGAGATCTGGCAGGAAGAATCCCAGTTCTGCTCCAGCGGGGCAGAGCCGTGAAGCTCTCGTTCTTTGAACCCTGAATCTAAGACATGACTCTGATGCCTGTTTGTCTCTTCTCTAGAGATATTTGGGTATATAGTCATTGGAACTAATTCCTGTACTGCACAGGGAACCGTGCTGATGATCTGCTTTGTTGCCTTTCCTAACAGACCAGTGAGCCTAACACCTTCCATTAGTTCCCAAACATCTTGCAATAGTCGATACCAGACTTCTTTTCCAGCCTCATAAGGCAAATGTAGGTGCTTTATTTGACAGCTGTCCTACAACATCAGGATATATACTTTCTTGCACCTTTCTTCAGGGGTCACATAGAAATGCCCTCTCACTTCTTTTCACATTAAAAGCGAATTTGATTTCTCTTGGTATTTAAATGTCAGCGTTCTCTTTGCTGAGAAAAAGATTTGGGTTTTTTCATGCGGTGTTTTATTGCCCGTATCAGCCAGGTTTTGTTGTAGATCTCAGGTCCCTTCAACTCTTACAGTGTTTTACTTAGTTAAGTCAAAACAATAATAACAGGTCATTCTTGCCTATTTTTTTTGTAGTGGGAAATGTCTGTACTAAAAGCTTATTCTTTTTTAAGTTAGAGTGCTGCATCAATTAAACATCTAGTGCTTTTAAGTGCTGACTTCCTTCTGCATCACCCCCTCCAGCAGAAAAGATCTGTAATCTCTGTCTAGTGGAGGTAAAGGCAGGGAAAGAAAGTATAATACTTTTGATGAGGAGGTTAAAATATCCAAAGGATAATTTGATAACGCATCTAATGTTGAGTCACTTGTGTTGTTAGTTCTCCAATTAAGTTATAATTTGTAATGAGAACAGTACAGCGCTAGGAGATGCAGTATCGATGTAGCCTAGGAACTTTTAACCATATTAGATGTCCAGCTTTCTTTTTATTAAGTCATTCAGAAAGCAGCACGCTTCTCTACAAAATGCTCTATACATTGCAGTACTCTTATCTAGCAGCCCTTCTTGGATGGTGCTCCTAAAGCATTACTTAGAATAGGCATTTACTGCTATTAAGTGAAATATTTTAAGTAGAAGTTCAAGTTGTGCGTAGTCATTAAAGATTATGTGATGCTTTCTATGTGAACAGGCCCCTTTGTCCTGCTAAGCTTTAATTTGTATGAATAGCGTACCTTGCTGCAGGTTCAGTCTTTGCTTAAAGATGGAACGCTGAGTAGAGTAACCTTGTGCACGGCAGCTGCTCGTGCTCGCTGACCTTCAACCGCCAACGTTTCTGGGATGAGCAGCGCGTTCCATAAATACGTGATGTTTGACAAGCAGCTTCAGGCTGATTAGCCGTCTCAAAACAAAAACAGCAACAGGAATTAAGAGTGGATTAATACTTTGAAGGCTTATGAGCAAAAAGCACAATTACTGCTGCTAATTAAAGCATTCCTCCCCATAGTCTCTATATGATTATTAACTTACACATGAAGAAACTGAGAGAGAGAAAAATTGTGATTTATCCCAGGCCGTGTGACGTGATGGTGGCAGAAATCTGCTTAGTGCCTTGCCCTGCCTCGCTTCAGGCGCTGCGTGACTTCATTGTGTTGCTGGAAACAGTCGTATTTTGAAAAACAAGGCAGTGTGAACGTGGGAGCTAAGTATTTGTTGTCAGAGCTTTCAAGAGAAGGGAACAGAGAATTTTGGTCTATCCCTTGGCAAAAATGTATCTTTTCAGTTGGTTGTAGGTAGATTTGTAGCTGTTCAGGTTTACTGCAAGTAGGATTTGTTGGAAGTAAAAAAGCAGCATAGCCCATTCCAGCAATGGTTGATTACATAGATTTCACGATCTGCTGAAATACCGCTGGAATACTGGTTTTAGAATTTCAGACTCAAGAAAACAATTTGGCTTGGTTTTGACCAGTGCTGACAACTGAAGATACATTATTTCTGAAGCAGAGACTCCCATGTCTGATGGATAGCTTGGCATAGAATCCAGTCATTGGGATGTTGAGATGTTTGGGGGTTTGTTGGTTGGGTTTTTTTTAAGCCAGAGAAAGTGGAGAAGTTGTACCCAGTTTTAATTGAGACCCCTTTGTTGTTTCTTTTCTAGTATCTTTTGCACTGACCAGATGAACTATTTATGTGCATTTATAGCTTACACCCACCCCCCAAAGTTCTTAGCGTGTTAGGATTTTGACGGCCAGGGGCCTTTGGTGCTTATCGTTTCTTTTGAGGTAGCCTCTAATGGCAAAAGACTTTGAAATCTTGAAATCCAAACAGAAAGCTGAAGCAAGACTTCATTCCCATGCCTGTGTTGTATTTCAGATTGCCATATGCAATGGACACTGATCTCAGTTCCCAGGACAGGAAGGACCTGGACAAGTTCATCAAATTTTTTGCATTAAAGGTAACTTTTTCTCCTGTGGGCAAGCGCCTCTTCTTTCTTGTTTAAGAAAAGCCATACTTGCTGTGGCTAGAGTAAAAAGGTTGGGATTTGCGGGTTTTTTTGTTTTTGCTAAAGAACAAATGAAGAAAAGATGATGTCAAATTTAGGAGATTCCTGAGAATAACTAGAAAAACATGTTTTCCACTTTTTTCTACCTTCAATCCTCTTCCTTCTCCCAGAAGTGTCCTGCTGTAGAATCATTATAGGCACTTCACACCTCTGTCAGCCTCGGGCTCCTATCAACACATCTAACCATCCAGCTGTTAGGTAGTATCATCTGTTGGACTCCACTCTTTCTTTTCAGCCTATCTAAATTTTTATATTGCATCCAAAAGCGGTAATACCCGAATATTCTTTTGAACTATGTTGATACATAATTATAAAATGTGGCCTCACTTGGTACATGGGTGCAAGTAGAATCTTTGACAACGGCCGTGTTACAAATGCACAGATTCACTTGCCTTTCGTTTAGGTGTCCAGGTTCAGGATATAGTTGTAAATTTGTTTAGTGTTACCAAAAACTGTGCAACTCCCGATTGCAAAATTGACTTAGTCACCGTGTGTTTTTACAAGGAAAGGTCAGCTTAAAATGATTTTCTGTCTGAAATACATTTGCCTGTTATATGTAATAATTTAAATTGATTAGACCTGAAGATTAGCATGGCAAGCTCTGCTTCTCTACATCCTGGTCAGCCCTTTCTTTTTTTTTTAACTTGGAATTTGTGTAGCTGAGGTTCTGAACTGAGAGCTCTGCTGAGCTCAAAACATGAGTGTGTATCTTTTCCTTTCTAATCTAGACAGTACAAGTAATTGTCCAGGCCCGACTTGGAGAGAAAATCTGTACCCGATCATCATCCTCCCCAACAGGCTCTGACTGGGTAAAGTCATGTTTTTTAAAGCAGCTCCGTAACTGTTGGGGATTTTGTGTGTGTGTGTTGAGAGCACAATGTAGTTGTTGTAGTCTTGTGCAGACTATAATAACTATCCATAGAATAACTACTGTAGTCAATTATGTTCATTGGTGGTGTGGGTTTTGGTTTTTTGTTGTTCTTGTCGACATGCAACATGTCCCTCTGGGCTCTTAAGGGCTGATTAGAGGAGAGATGAATGATACTTCTCAGCAACTCCTGCCAACTAAGGCACGTTTCCAAGATCTGCTTAGGGTGGGGTGATGAGTTCTTTTCTGTCAGAAGTTTGCAACTCTGCAATTCAGGAGTTTGCAGTAATGGGCTTTATTAAAATTGAAGAGACTTGAGATGCTTTGTGGGTGAAGACAGGACTCAAGCAAGGGAAAAGGAATGTGATTTTTATGGCAGGATCAAGAAAAACATTTGAATTAGCAGCCAAGGAAATGTTTGCAAATGTGAAAAGCCTGAGCCCATCTGGGAATACTCTGTTTCATAAATATTTCAGTGGACACTGTCCTAGTGTGTTATATATGAGTCTATGAGTCTGTCTGCAGTGTACCATTAGGCAGTTTTTCAAAGAAATAAAAAAATTGAATCATCTCTTTTCATTCTGCAGTTCAATTTGGCAATCAAAGATATACCAGAGGTTACTCATGAAGCAAAGAAAGCCCTGGCAGGACAACTACCTGCTGTTGGACGGTCTATGTGTGTGGAGATTTCTCTCAAAACCTCAGAGGTGAGAACTGAGTCAAAATAGATGCCTTTTTTTTTTTTTACTTAAGTCACCAACCAGAGCTCCCGCCCTTTAGTCCAAGACAATGCGAAAATATCTTTATTTATGAAGTTAGCTGATATGCTAATGAAAAGAAATGTCTTGTTTAACAGAAGCAATTCACTGCAAATATCTGAGGCCAAATACATAAACAATAGAGCAGCAAAATTTAGTTTCTTAGACCATGAAGAGCTTAGCCATTCTAAGGAAGGTATTCCCTCAGTGACCTAATTGTGCAGTGAGACTTCCAGTGCACCTTTTTCTGTTGTTGCATTATAAGAAAGTGGGAGCCAGGAGAAACATTTTCATTGAGAGGTGTGGCTGTTGCTGATCGTTAATGAGATGTGAGAAGGTTTGTGTTCTGAAATGAGCCTTTGTTTGCCATCCTTTCTCTGATCCAGGGGGACTCCATGGAGCTGGAAATTTGGTGTCTAGAAATGAATGAAAAGTAAGTGCATTCTTCCCACTTTCTTTGTGTGTGTGTGTGTGTGTGTGTTTGTTTTAGCTGATGAAATGGGGAAGCATGCTCAGTCCGTGGTGATGAATGAGCACTTATTGGCTGTGTGGCCTGGCACACTTCAGAGGGAAGTCCCCTCTTTGTCTAGTGTAGCAGTCAAACTGTTTAATATTGGTGTCAAGAAAATAAACTAGTAATTTTATTCCTTCTTCATTCTTCCATTACAACTAGTATGCTTCCTCAGATATAAGAATTCATATGCTCAGTAACGACAAATACTTTTAAGACTGAAAAGATGTTTCCGTCTAGGAGAAGGCTGTGTGGCATTTTTCAGCAATTACTTCTACAACAGGTGACTAGATTGAAGTAGGACTCTTAGCTGGTTGGTCAATAAGAGGTGGCCACACTGGGGCTTTATTTTATCATTTTGGCAATAAAACTGACATTAAACAATTGGCCCAGACTCATTTTGATTTAAAAAAATTAAAAAAAAAAACAAAAACAAAACCCAACCAACACCAAACAACTTAGTTGAGAACAAAAGACTAATTTTTTCCTTTGTGTTCTATAGATGTGACAAAGAAATCAAAGTTTCATACACCGTATACAACAGGCTGTCTCTGCTGCTGAAGTCTTTGCTCGCTATAACTAGGGTAACTCCAGCCTACAGACTCTCAAGGAAACAAGGCCACGAATATGTAATATTGTACAGGTAAAGCAGAATATGAAATTCTCCATTTGAAATACAAAGAGCAGAGACTCTAGATTTGCACAATCCAGCTGCAAATGTAGTAAAAAGGGGTGAGTGATAATAAATTCTAATTGTTTGGATTTAACTACTATGGACCAGTGACAGAAGAGAACTTTGGGCTATATATCACCTTATAGCCTCAATCTGAGCCATTGGAAGAAAAACTAAGGACGGGCTGCAAAGTATTAGTTTTTGCCTGTCATGTTGAGAAGAGTACGAAAATTGTACATGCAAGCACTGGTTAAATTGCTTATTAGCACCCAGTAGTTCAGTGTCTGGCCTGTATTTGATACATGCCTCTCTATGTTGCACAAAACTGCAATGCATACTTTTGCAGTATAGATTCAGACTCTCTCCTTCTATTCCATTTTAAAGATGCATCCTCAGCTCCACTTCTGTAGTTCTTGCAGCTTACTCATCCAAATAGTGAGTTCAACTCTGTTTAGCCTGTGGGATCTGCTGCCTTGTAGTTCTCACCTTCCAGTCCTTTTTGGCTTTGAGAAGAGTCTTTGACAGGTTTGCATAGCTAATTTAGATAATTCTAAATCTCAGGTTTGTTATGATTTGCAGAGCTGAGAACTTAAAAAGAAATCCCAGCCACTTCTTCATTTTTGCCTCCGCTGCTGCTTTGGCATATACTTAAGAGCAGGTCTCTTTACAGCACAGTTAATCTTTTATGTTATGTGATGAGTACCAGCTTTTAGACCCAGACCTGTCTCTGAAGTTTGTGTCACTTCACATTTTTGCTCTGAACCACAGACTTGCCACAGAGGCTTAAAAAATGTAAAGAGAAATTTTCTGATTAGACTATCGTTTTCTCTTCCTTTTTCTTTTTATATAACGTGTCTGCTTCTGAAGTAGATGAAAGGTTTTTTGGGCTGGGCATTCTAGCCACTTCCTTACTTTTTCTCCTAAAGAGGAAAGGTAGTTCCAGCCTTTCAGTGCATAAAATTAAATAAGAAATAAAGATATGTATAGTATTATTTCCTCAATGGACCTAATACCTTTTCTTTTTCCTTTTCCTGCAGGATATATTTTGGTGAAGTGCAACTGAGTGGCTTGGGAGAAGGTATGATTAGGCAACACATACAAACTAAAGCAGAACTGTTTTCCGTACTGGCTGGCCATTTATTACTATTCCTAAGTGCCATAGGGAAAATTAAGGCTGAGGTTTACATATGCTTTTTATCTGGATCTACCCGTGAAGCATCGTGTCATAAGGTGACAGGTATAATGGTGGTACTTTGACAAAGTCTAGGGTGATTGCCATTTTGAGTCTAGTGATCTGGAGCTGCAATAAGAATATGGAAGTATGCCGATAAGGGGCAGGACTGGTAAAGGAGATCATGATCTATTCAGGAACAAGAAGCACTTCAGAGCAATATTTTAGACCAAGATAGGAAGCAACATCAGAAGTCTTGTAGATGAAGCCTACCAGCAAGACAACCTAGTGCTGCTGTTCTGTTACGGGTTCTATATGTCTCTTTGGAGTTCAGATTGCAAGGGGTAATGGAAACATCATAGAAATAAGATAAGGTAACCTCAGAATAGAGAAGTATGGAACATAAATAATCAGTGAAACTGATAATCATTCCTTAACCTTACAGGTTTCCAGACAGTCCGTGTTGGGACAGTGGGTACCCCAGTGGGCACCATCACTTTGTCTTGTGCCTACAGAATCAACCTCGCGTTCATGTCAACCAGGTGAGGGGAAAAAAAAATCATGCCAGAAACCATTTTACAATAACATACTATTAACCCCCTCATATTATGAGCCCTTAAATCTTTCCCTTCTGCTTATCCTTTCCTGCTG